TCCGCTGGGAAGATCACAGAATCACAGACTGGTCAGGGTTGGAAGGGACCTTTGGAGACCATCCAGTCCAACCCCCCTGCCGGAGCAGGGTCACCTACAGCAGGTTGGAGAGGACAGTGTCCAGGCAGGTTTGGAATGTCTCTGGAGTTGGAGACGGGGCAGTGGCACCACCTTCTCCCTCAGCTGGGTCTGACAGCAAGGACAGCTGCCCACTTATTAAAAAAGCTCAGTGGGGGGATTTTAGCGATGGGGCTGCCTGGAGGCCCAAGGCCTGCCAGGTGAGCAGGGTCCTGCAGAAGATCCTTGGCCGAAGAGGTGACCCCGCCGTGTAGGTTAGCAGTGACATGGTGCCACCTCGTGGCACACGGCTCCGAATGTCACACGTCCTTGTCTTTGTGGGATGGACACCTTTCCAGGGGTAGCATCACCCTGTGGGTGCTCCACCACCTCCCAGGGCTGCCTGGTGCCTCCAAGGACGTGTCTGCACCATGGGCTGGTAAAGGCCACCAGTAAACGGGTGGTTGGGACTGATGGGTGTTGTCCTACCCCCTTGTCTGAGTAGCGCTTGCAAAGCGGGGTACAACCCAAACTCATGCAGTCCGGCTCAAAGCCATCGCTTTTGGAGATGATTTGTTTAGGGCTGTCTGCCCACTATGAGATCCATGCGCTAAGGGGGTCTCCTCCCCGGCTCAGCTATCCCCCCCTGGACCTATCCTTTTCCCTCTGGCTCCCAGGCTCTACCAAGACTCCCCTGACCACCCTCCCCCGCTAACCCGCAGGAGACCCACTCATCCGCACCAGAAATGAGTTTGGTCCCATTCTGTACCTACAGCATAAAGCAAACGCCTCTTATGAGGGTGCAGGTTTATTTCTTCGTGCTATAAAACCAGAAAGAAGGATAGCTCTGTTTATCTACATAAAAAAATGAAAAATAAAGACAATGCTGAGGTTTGGCACCGCTGTTAAATCATCATCTGTTGAAGTACTTAAGAACAGAGTCTCAGTTTTCAGTGAAATGCTTTAATTCGAAACCAGCACTGCGATAAACAAGGAGATTTGGGGTCTAACTTGCCTTGCTGATTGATGGCATCGTGGCAGTGCCTGGGAAATCTGGGGCTCGGTAGTCATGGACTGGGTCCTGTTGTGCCGTTTGCAGTATGGCCCCAACCAAAAGCCAACTGCTATCCCAGGGAAGTCTGCCACCGAGACCCCTAATCTGTTTTCTGCGAGGAGTCGGCAGCTGACATTTTAAGACATCAGTGTTTGATCTGTGACCAGAAATCACCTGATAAGGGATTTATTTTTCCACTACTATTAGAAAGGCTGTTGCAAGGTTTCTCACCCTTTGAGACAGGCATTTTGGCGCTACGTGTCCTCTGTACCTGTCCCGCTGCCAGCTCGGCTGCCATCCGCGCTTCTTCCTTTTGGGTTGGGACATTCCCAGACAGCAAAGCACGTGGCTTGATTCTGCTGACTTTTTGTTCCTCCTGTTGAAGAAGACGAAAAGCCTCTCCTTTGTGAAAGGGTGCTCCTCTAAAAGGGGGTCGGAGATATTACGGGTACCAGAGGCAGCGGGAGGTAGGGTGGGCTTTACCCCTAAAACGCCAAAGCGGAGGTTTCCCCTGAAGGGCGAAGGGCTGGGGATTAGGAGCACTCGGTCTCTTTCATTGAAGAAGTTCAGTCTATAAAGCCAAGAATGTTTTTTTTTTTTTAAAGTATAACCCAATGAGAGAATGTAACACTCTCGTACAGGTATGTATCACCAAAAATTAACCACCAGAGGAGGCCCTTTCCAGTTTAACATCATCATTTAGGAAGGGGGTTTTAAACAAGAGACTCCTGGATGGCAGAAGGGAGCTCATGCTGGTATGACGGTATCTGTGTAAATCCGGCAGCGTAACAGCGACTGCAGCGATGAGCCCTCAGGCTCTCAGCACGGGTTCGCCAAGGAGCCCGAGGGCTGATACACCCGCCAAACTCAATGGGATTTAGGTGCCTAAATGCATTAGGCTGCTTGGAAAATCCTGGACTTTGACCTTAAAGTAGAAAAAAATGGCTAAAAAAAAATAAAATAATAAAAGTCAGGCTAACGCTGCTGTGAAGGCAGTGGGTGCTCTGAGTTTTGCACAAGGCAGCGGGAGGCGGCCACCGAAGGCAACCGAGGGGCTCCACCAGCGGGAGGGTTCAGAACTCCATCACCAACGTCTCCCGCCCCACCAGGAATTGCAGGATGGTCCCTCTGAACCATTTCCAAACCAATGGGTGTCTCCTTGTGTGGGAATGGTCCAGGGCCCTTGGCTGGAGACATCCGCCTTGTGAGAGTGTATGAGGAAAACGCTAAAAATGTCTTTTTTTTTCGTTGGGAAGAATCTTAGGACATTAAAAGTTGGAGAACTCATCTTCATTATTTCTCTTTAAAGTTACTTATGAATTGAGAATGGCTGTGCTCATATTTCTCTTTTATTTGCTATCTCCCCAGGCTAAAGTGTTGTCTATTTATCTTACAGATTAGGTTACTTTTTATGGGGTTCTTGCTATTATATTTCACCTCTAACTTTGTTAGTTTGTGTTTGATATTAAATTATGTTGAATAAAAGGGGCAGCTCAAGGACATTTTTCAGCTCCATCCCAAAATGAGGTTCTTAATCCTGTTTCTGGGTCTGCCCCTGTAGCCCAGCCCACGGGGACAGGGTCGGGTACGGAAGAAGGGTGGCAGAGGAGTGTTTGTATCAACTGTGGGCTTTGCAGGGTGAAGCTGCTGGAGAATCGTGCCTGTAAAACCATTTGGTTCATGTACAGTGATTCTGGAGGCATCTCTTTAGAAACGGGTTCTGATAATATTGACATCATCACAAGATAAGATCCAGGACTAGTTAAATCACAGCCTCGCAACTCTGTGCTCCTTTGGGGATTAGAAGAAGTCGCTGAGCTGTCACTCTAAAGCTGATCATGGGCTCGTTTAACTATGTCATCCCCTAAGACAGCCCTTTCAATTATGTCAACCTGTCTGCTCTCCCTAGACTCTAATTTTAGAGCAGCAGTAGCTAATATTCTTGGAAAACTGATCCGCCTCCACAGATCTCTCCTCTCTGCCTGCTGCTGTTAACGGAGTATCCTGTGGGGAGATCGGACTGCTTTACTTCCCCTCCTGTAATAAACCTAATAAAAATAGGTACCATTAGGTTCCTTTGTGTGTGGTCTCTTTAAGACACTTATCTGAGCTATGTAATGGAGATGTCACTTCTCCTCCACAGAGGGATCTGGCAGCACCACAGGGTCATTGCAATAAAAATAAAATTCAGTTTTAAAAGCCTGGTACGGAATTATGAGCTGAAAAGCGGGACGATGGGATTGGAGTTCAGAGACCTGGAAGAGGTAGATGTGAGCTGGAGTCACTCGAATGTTAATGTCGCCAGCAGTGGCTCCACAGCTGGCGCAGTGAGCAGGATGCTCCCGGATGGCGCAGGAGGACCTCAAGCGGTGGGGTGGCCCCGGGGACACCTGAGACAAGGGACTTGTCCATGTCTTCTGGGTGGTGTTCGGAGGAGTTTGGGGTGCACAAGGTGGAAGGGAGGTGGACGGACGTGGCTGTCTCAGCCATGGGCATCTCTGCGCTCTGCTGTCCGTCAAAACACATCTTGGTGGGACGGGGACAGCCTTGCCCTGAGAGATGGGATGGAGCCAGCCACATCCCGGGCTCCCCATCCATGCTGTGGCCGTAGCTGGCAGCGATGTGGGACGGCTGTCCCCCTGCCATCCCACGAATGTCCCCCTGCCCTCGCAGGCTGGCAGCACAGGGGGAAACGAAGCTCCTGTCCCATTTGGTTTTTCCTTTGTGTCTGCCACGGCATTCAAAAGCAGCACGGACTTTCTCCAGCCGTGCAATTGGAACTGCCGTGACAGAGGGGATAGGGAAGGCCTTGAAGATCACCCCTCTCTCTTCTGGGCAGCGTGACAGTCCCTTCGGCCGGGTGGACTCCCCTTGGCCATTGCTCCTCCGTGCTTGGCCTCTGCCAGGCTGGACTGGCCGTACTGGAGGACAGTGGTATGCAGGTCTGAGGCTGTCAGAGGATTTTCTGTTTTCCCCAGAGCAATTCCAGCCTTCTCCAAAATAACGACTCTTGGGGGCCCTGGTTGAAGGAGCAAGCACCCGTGAAGCTGAGGAGGGCTGTGATCCTCTTCAGAGGTGTTTTATTCCCCCTTTAGGGTGCAGTGTGGGTCCTCAGGCAGACTGTGCTGGCCAGGTGGGGTGGATGGGGGTGTTTAACCCCCTGCAGAGCCACCAAGAGGCAATCCCAGGTCCCACGGAAGAGGAAGGGAAGGATGAAGAGCAGAACCACAGGACAAAGGAAAATGCAATGTCTGTCCTCCTCCAAAAAAAACTAGAGAAGGAGCAAAAGGTATGGAGGGAAAAAGAGGAGGTGGAGGAACGGTGCTGGGACAAGCGAGGGAGGTGACCCCCATCGATCCCACCCGGCGTCACCACTCTGGTGGCAAAGGCCAGGCGTTCCCTTTGCAGATCAGGCTGTATAAAACCCACACGCCGCGGGCTGCCGGGGAACGATACATCCTCCAGACTTCAGCAAGTTAGTTACACGCAGCTTTCCTTTCATAAATCCATGTTGGCTGCCCCTAATCAAATTCTGCTTCTCAAGCACTTTCCCTTGCTAATTCCCCCCGAATCAGTTCTAACCCACCTATCCCCCTTGTCGCTAAGCTAGCCAGCCTCTAATCGCACGCTGCACTGTGTGATCCTTTCCCGAGTAATACGGGGTTCGGCACTTTCCTCCGGTTCTCAGCAGCCTAACCTGTCAGGAGCAACCTTCTAAAAATATCACTAAAGACCTCGGCTAATTTCTAATCCTCGTTTCTATTAAGACGGCTGCCTGTACTATGTGGGCTTCTAGACTTGGGATTTACAGTCTTCCTTAAGAGTGTCTAATCTGCGCGGAGCCACTTCTGTTGTTATCCATAGGCAAACTCCTCCCTTCCCCACCGCAATGGATGATCCCTTTGCCAGCGGCTCTCCAGTCCGCAGGGCAGCATCAGCCAGCGAGGCCACCAGCCTCTTCCTCTCCGCCCAGCTCTCCCCCAGGGCCATCACTGGTGTCCCACTCCTCCGGGGCGCTGGGTAGGTGCTTTGTATAAGAAAAATCAGCCCGCGAGCTCAGCAGGGCAAGAGATTTTCTTTGCATTTCCCAAGTTCTCGAGCAGTGTGTCAACAGTACAATGGGGCTGATGTATAGATGCATAATGGAGCGAGGGTCTTGAAGTACCTGGTGTAACTGGACTTTCTATCACCGTTCGGGTATTTTTTGCTGTTTCCTTCTTCTTTTTAACACTCCCTCATCCCCAGCTCTCAAAACCAACCAGGTCAGAAGAGCAAAGCGGGCGAGAGTGGCTCTGGCTGCCCCCCGCCATCCTGGTAGACGCCAGGTAACTGGTTCAGCTCAGGCAAGGGAAATCCTTTCAATCACATGCCATTGGCCACGGGAACCCGGTGGAAGATGCTACATGACCGTGTTGTCAAGTATCGGGCACGTCTGTGTGCTAAAAGGCTCTCCCCGGGCTTGAGACCACCAGGGTTTGCATGGAACGTGAGCCGCGAGGCAGGTTCTGCTGGCAGGGAGGAGGGCAGCCAAGGGCGCAGCTCAAGGACGTGACCATCAGCAGGCGAACAGCGCAATGTCTGATGGGAACGTCTACCACCGCTGCAGAACGCTCTTCTAGGATGCAGCTGGACAACGATGGCTCTAACTTACACATGCAAAGCAGCGTCAGCCCCGTTCTCTCAGCTCCTGGTTACACAGACACGGGGAGAAGAAACTGTCTAAATCAAAGGACAACACGGCTTTGAAGGCAGGTGGTCAGGGAAACCTTTAAACTAGAAACTTGAAGCTGTCTTTTCATCATGAGAGCAGTGAGGTTGCGCCTTCTGATGGGAATAAACTGCCTTTAATGTTGGGTTTGGTTTGTTTATGGAGGGAATTACAGGAAGTAGTTAAATGTTTAATAGAAGCTTGAATTGAATGACCCAGAAGGTCTCTCCTCACATCAGTCTCCAAAGTCTGTGTGTCTACAGCCACGCCGGGCAAAGGGGCAGGACTCGGCCTGCTTGGCACTGCTCCCAGGCCTGAGCTGGCATCTCCCTGGGGGGCTACGTCACCCTTCAGGGTGTCCCCAGGGCGGGTTGGGGGCGCTCCAGTGTCTTCTGGAGCAAACCAGTCCAACACAGGCCTTTCAGGGGCACTCTCCCACGTCCCTATTTGAGACGTGTCCCACGGCCAGGACAGCCCCGCACCCTCATCCCTTTACGCGCATGCACAGCAGCGTCTTCACAGCAGTGGGACTGCTTGTGTCACGTGGACGTGATCTCCTGGGGAAGCTGGAGAGCCCTTTGTCTTCATCATCACCGCCTCTCTCACCACCTCCCTGAACTCACCTCCATGCCCTTCCCCATGCCCTGTTGCCATCCCTTGCTGTTTCCCCATCCCCTTCCCCATCCCCATGCCCATCCTCACCCCCTTCCCCATCCCTATCCTCATGCCCATCCCCATGCCCATGCTCATAGAATAGTTTGGGTTGGAAGGGACCTTGAAGATCATCTCGTTCCCCCCCCCCTGCCCTGGGCAGGGCCACCTCCCCCCAGCCCAGGTTGCTCCAAGCCCCGTCCAACCTGGCCTTGAACACCTCCAGGGATGGGGGAGCCACAGCTTCTCGGGGCAACCTGGCAACCTCATCCTCATCCCCATCTCCCTCTCCATGCTCTCCCCCATGCCCATTTCCAGGCCCATCTCCATTCCCACACTATCTCCATGCCCATCCCCATCCCCAGCGCCATCCCCATCCCCATGACCACGCCCCCTCCCCGCTCTGCCCCGTCACGGCCCCGCCCCCGCCGCATGACTCAGCACGCC